TTATGGAGGAAACACACTGAGTCAGTCACTGATCAAAAAAGAACTGACTGACACTGAAGAATTTGAGGAAGTCCCCGATGAGCAGGAGCCAATGGCGATGAAAGAGAAAATTTGAAAATTGAAGCTGCATTGAAAGCATTGGCAAAAAACCCTAAGGCCCCAGGAATCGATAGAATGCCAATTGACTTGTTTCAATTAACAGATGCAGCCTTGGATGTGCTCACCAGTCTATGCCAGGAAATTTGCAGGATAGATGTCTGGCCAATGGATTGGAAGAGGTGCATGTTTGTTCCCATTCCCAAGAAAGGTGATCCAATAGAATGTGGAAACTATTGAACAATATCATTAATATCATTAATATCACATGCAAGCAAAATACTGTTGCAGATCATTCAAAAACATCTAGAACAGGGAATAGATAGAGAACTGCCAAAAGTTCAAGAAGGATTTAGAACAGGCCATGGCACCAGAGATATCACTGCTGATGTCAGACGGATCCTGGCTGAAAGTACAGAATACCAGGAGAATGTCTGTTTAAGCTTTATTGACTATGCAAAGGCATTTGACTGTGTGGATCACAACTATGGCTAACATTAAGAAGAATGGGGATCTCATAGCACTTATTGTGCCTCATGTGAAACTTATACCTAGGCCAAGAGGCTGTTGTGCAAACAGAGCAAGGGAACAATACTACAAGGTTTAAAATTAAGAAGGAAGTTTTTCAGCATTGTATTCTCTCTTGATATCTATTTAATCTGTATGCTGTGAAGAAGAATGTGGAATCAAGATCAGAGGAAGACTTGTAATGACCTGTGTTACGCCGATAATGCAAGCTTGCTTACCAAAAGTGACGAGGACTTGAAACACTTAAAAATTTCCCACTATAAAGGACATGAATCTGCAAGTCCAAGAAGCTTGAAGAAGCCCAAGCAGGATAAATCAAAGTAAGACACACCATAGTTGAGCTTTCAAAACTTAAATATCAAAAGAAACTTGGGAAAATGTTGAAAAAGGCCAGAAAGAAGAAGTTAAGAAGAAAAAAAAAATGTTGGAAGCCAGAAAGCAAAAGAATGATATCTAGAAAGTGCTTTTCCAAAGCCCACCATGCCAGGCTTCTGTCTGTAATAAGGATGGATCACACCGTTCCTGGCCAACTTTCTACCTCATCGTGGTTCCAGGTTCCCATGCAAAACGACCTCCCCAGTTTACAGAAGCAAGTTCACTATACTACAAACGAACAATGGAACACGCATGAGAATATGAAACATTCTGCAGGATACTGACCTAGCTAGCGCGACAAGTAAGATAGTCCTTTAAGAGGAACTATAAAAGTTTTCTTTAAAAAGAGTATACATATACATATATATAAAAGCAAAGGAAGTGTTCTAGAATAATAGAATGTTAAGAGGAATGAAGCAATGTGGTAAACGTGTCTGTCTGTGTTCTTACGGGGCCAGAGGAGGCCTGTCTACAGGGGACTGAGAAAAGAGAACACAGATGAGAGGGGTGTATACGCTAGACAGAAGAGCCATTCTGTTCACACAGCCAAGAAGAGCTGAGAGCTGTTCCCACTGAAAAACAGACGGGTCTGCTCTCCTTCCAGGGAACCTTCTAGACTCTGTTTCTATGCTTCCTGGACTTGGTTTGGTTTGAGTTTATTTCCCTCACTTTTATTTTTTTTTAAAGTGAAGATTCACAAAGATATTAATTTTAATTCATTCTTTAGTTTTCCTCCCTCTCCCCCAATTCCCTGTGTAATGCTTGTTCTCACCGGGCAACTAATTGTCATACTCATAATTTCTAATCCTCCAGTCCTTCCAGATCCTCCTTTCTTTCACTCATTCCACTGCAGTGTTCATTATCTATTCATTGTTTTTTTATTCTCTCTCCTCCTCCTCTCATAACAATCCTATTACTACAACAGTGTGCTTATATATAGTTGTTCTTCTGTGACTAAAATGTCTCACTCAGCATAATGTCTTCCAGACTCATCCAGGCTGTGTAGTGTTCTACAAGTTCATTGTTTTTCAGTGCTGTGTAATATTCCATCGTGTGATAATACTATAATTTCTCTATCCATTCAGTCGTTGATGGGCAATTGGGTTGCTTCCATCTCCTTGCTACTGTGAATAATACTGCAATAAACATGGGGATGAATCATGCTTCTTGAGCTTGATCCCAAGTAGAATCCTGTTGGTCCTCACCCCAAGTTATACCTGCTACTTCCTTAATATGCCACTTAAGAAGAAGTATGATCTGATCAATGAGTTCTATGTTCTCATTACAACAAGGCATGGAGCCCAGAAGAGAAGAGCTGTAGAAGTCACGAATTGTCAGAATTAGTAAAAAGGTTGGAAAGTGGGGGAGGGGGGGGGCGGGGAGTCTGACCTTCATCTTAAGTGGACCAAGTTTGAGCGGATCCAGGTTCTTAGGTAAACAATTGCATACTTGTACAGATGTGTTGTTGTTCTTGTTATGTGCCGTCGAGTCACCTGTGACTCATAGCGACCATATGTACAACAGCCCTAAACTCCGCTCTGTCCTGTGCCAATCGCACTGTCTCTGACACTCCCATCCCAATTATCCCAGTCACTGAATCAATCCACCTCATAGAGGGCCTTCCTCTCCTGCGCTGTCCCTCCACCCTCCCAAGCATGATGTCCCTCTCCAAGGACCGCTCTCTCCTCACAACATGTCCAAAATAAGTTAGTACATATGTATGTACAGATGTAGCCAAACATATATGTGCACTATTCAGTCCGGCTCAGCACTTCATAGTTACGTTGTTTTGTTATGTGCCATCCAGTTGACTACAACTCATCGTGACCTTATGCACAACAGATATGAACCATGCCCTGTCCTGTGCCATCCTATCTCCGACACACTTGAGCTCAACGTTACAGTCAGGTTTTCAATCCATCTTGTTGAGAGCCTTCCTCTCTACGACCCTCAACCCCCCGCCCCACAGCATGATGTCTTTCCCCTCCAGGTGCAGCTCAGCGCCATGATTGACAGAGGAATAAAGAAACAAGTCCTTGGACCAGGCTCAGTTCCACACAGAGTCCTGAACTATCTTCTCTTTGCCATCGAAAGACTCACATTCTGCTGTGATGGAGAATGAAAATCCAGACCTGATTTGGGAAGTGGTAATGGCCTAGTGGCAAGAAGCCGTGCTGCAATCCTGAATGCACGCAGTTCGAGGCCACCAGCTGCTCCGTGGGAGAAGGATGGGCAATCTCCTCCCGTGTGATTAACTGCCTCTGAAAACTCACCAGAGCGTCAGCTATAGGTTGGTTCTGACTCGACAGTCCACAACAACAACAGAGACCAGAGTGGAAGTCAGTTGAAACGAGGATAATCAATAACAAACATCATTGAACAATGTTGTTGTTGTTGTTGTTGTTGTTGTTGTTGATTGCCTTCAAGTCAAGCACGACTTATAATGACCCTATGAACAAAAGGCCTGAAGCCCCTCTTATAACTATTGATATTTATCAAAGTTCATAGAGTTTCCATAGGCAGTTGTTTAGGAAGTGGATGCCACTCCTCCTTCCAAACCTGTCATAGAATGAGTTGCCTGCAATACAAAGCAACCCTATGTTACAGCAGCTCTGAACCCTTCCCTGTCCTTAGGCAAACAATAGAAAGTGTTATTCCTTGGAGAAGGACATGATGTTGGTCAGTGAAGGAGAGGAAGTCCCTCTACCAGGTGGACTGACACGATGACTGCTATAATGGGCTCGTGTGTGTCAGGAAGTGGGAGGATGGCGCAGGACAGAACAGGGTTCAGATCTTTTGTTAATAGGGTCACTATGAGTCGTGCTCAACTCAGTGGTACCTAATAACAACAACAAAGTCTGCCGATTTGTAGGATTCAAAGGATTTCACATTCCTGTTTGTTCATTGGGACTTTTCTTGTGGACAGCACACCTGGAGTCTCTGGTAGGTCCCGAGGAATAGACAGCGCCCTCTAGACCAGGATGTATCAACAAACAGGAGGAGAACACTGGACAGAGGAAGTGGCACAAAGGTGGCAGAGGACCCTGGACAAGCAGTACTGCTGCCAACTGCTGTGGGAGGGGGGCAGACAGGAGAGGAAAGCCACCAACCAACCGCACTGTCACCACCCACAGTGTGGGCAGCAGGTGTCTCTGGGCAGCCTCTGGGCCTCTCCCTACCGCTGCTCTGACCCTGCACACAGTGAGGCAGCAAATCAAGGTGACTTAACAGGGACACCGTGCAGAGCCTCAGGCTTGTTCTCTCTTCCTGTCATCTCCAGGCTCAGGACCTCTGCATGGTGCCTACTGTGGACATCTGTGGTCAGCCCCCTTGTGACACCCTAGAGAAAGATCTGACCATCACGTCCCAAATCCCAGTCACTGAATGTGGTGGAGTGCAGTGCTCTGACACACACAGGACAACCATCGGCAGGGAACAACCAGAAAGCAGCTAGATACTGGTCATTTTCCAGTTTCATGTGCTCAATGTCTGATCATCCAGAAAACATTCCGATGCAACTCCTCCCGACTTGTCTGCCTGATTTCAGGGCATTTTTCTATTGAGAGTGGCCCTGGATTAGAAGAAAGGTCCCTCTCTGTCTTCTGTTATTGTTATTGAGTCAGAATTAACTCATAACCATCCAATCAGAAGCTCCAGGGGGTTTCTAAGACTGTAAATCACACCAGAGAATATTTTCCTTCTTTCAGCCTCAGAGGAGCTAAAGGGTTTAAACTCCCAGAGAGGCATAGACTTTGCAACTCTTTCTACGACCAGAGCCCTCGACAAAGCCCACAGCAATATCAAAAAGTGCATATTGGAAAGTTATTAGTTGGATGTACACAAATAACAGAATCATTTTACAAAACATGTAAATCAACAAATAAGGGGATCAGATAAAATGGGCCAATAAACAAGAAAGAAATTACAAAGGTGACAATTGTGAATGACAAATCCCAGAGGAGTAAGATGTGAATTTTAGGTGCCCCTATCCAGATTGTCCTTTAGGGGCTCAAGGAGAGGTGACCCACCTGGCTCAGAGGCTTTCTCTGCTCACAGTTGATACCTCCTATGAAGACCATGTTGGGCATCACAGGCTTGGGGTAGTCCAAAACAAAGTCAGTTCGCAACAACCAAATCGATGGAAGACTATAAAGGTCATAAAGAGGGACTGACTTCTGGAAAATCTCAGAGAGAGTCTCTGTAACACGTTTAAAAAAATAGCTGCAAATCAAGTGCTCCTCCAAGTGGAAAATTTGGTTTCTTACTCTCTGTGTGAAAGTCATGGTGTCCGAGAGCCCCAAGAATTCTCTCGGAACATAAGAAACAGGACTGGGGGCCTGCGTGCCTTCTTCGAGATAATGGCAAAATGCTCCCCTGGCGAAGACCACAGATGGGAGTGAGAAATACTTGGCAACAATTAAGCCACACATATCAAAAGGATCTGTAAGCACTACATCAAAAGAGCTGTCTCTTATGAATTCTACTAACTTCTTGTCATTAAACAAACTCTTACAATGTGAAAAAAAGTATTCAAACACATCGAAAGCTGGACCCATTAATATAGAATATAAATTCAAAGGCTGATGTTTCCATTGAGAATTGAGGAAGAGCTTGAATGAGCGGTCCAGGTCCTCCATTGTGTAAAAAGTTGAGTAAATCTTCACCGTGTAGTTGGGGGATTTGTCCAGGTGCCAACCCACCTCGGGCATGACCACCACCACCTCGTGCCCCCTCTGGCTGAGTTTCTCCACCACGACACGCATGCTGAGCCAGTGACTCCCGCTCATGGGTACAACCAGCAGCTTGCCGGCTCCAGCAAAGCCAGATGTCAGCAGAAGCCAGGCACACAGGGCAAGGAAGCCCGTCAGAGCTGCAGGCGCCATTGGGGAGCTCACAGCAGCCCAGAGCAACTTGCTGCTTGGAGAGAGAGCCTGTGCTCTGTGGTCGGTGGAAGGAGCCCAGGAACACAACCTGCGCCGAGAGAGGGTGTGTGTGCTGAGATGCAATGAGAAGCGTGCACTCACTGGCAATGATTCACTAAAAAGTTCAGGACTAAACAAGTAGAGTTTGTTCAGGTGACCCGTGTGTGTGTGTGACTCTCAAACAAAAGTGGCTATTGGTCTTTGCCTTGGGCGGGGTCATGTTCAGAATTGCAGAGTAAGTTTTGAAACAAAATTACGAAAACAGTTTTCACAGTCATCAGCAGACTATAAATACAAGGTGAAGGTCACACTTGGTGAAACTGTCAGAGGAGATTCCAGAATTTTACACTGTAAGATTTGTGTTCAATGTTTTGGCAGAAATTTGGGGGTTTTGTTTGGGGCGGGGTTTCCCCATCTTTCTGTAGTTAGTTATAAGATGCATTTGGAGGCACTATGGTTAAAGTGCTTAGTTGATAACTGAAAGCTCAATGTTCTGAACCCCTCAGGGCCAGAAGGATGTGGTGGTTTGTTTCTTTTAAAAGTACATCCTTGGAAATGCTATGAGGCCGTTCTCCCTTGAGCCGTCACAGAGAGAGAAGCAGCACTGAGCAAAAGCTAACAGTTCTACCTATATTAGAGTGTCTCGCAGAAAATTGTTCATGCAAAAACACCACACACTGGGAGGAACTGAGAAAGTCAACACTCTGAAAAATGTCAATGCCCCCAAAAAAATTCCCAGACATAGAACAGCACAAAAAAGACCCATCTGCGTAAACAAGACAGCTCCAAGCTCTCAGGGCCCTCCAGATGCAACAGCAGGTTTTCAGAGGCTGTAAATCGCAAAGGAGGAGACTGTCCATCTTTCTCCCAGAAGTAGCAGGTGGATTCAAACTTTCAGAGAGGTGTGCCTTCTGAGTTAACAGCACAACCCTCTAGGCACTACACCATCAGAGCTCCTCTGACAAGGGAGGCAAAATCTAGGGATGACTGACAGATTAGAAAAATGGAAGCATGTAACAGGACAGTAGTGAATAGAACTAAATAATGGAAAGGGGCTGAGGTGATGTAACCCATGGGAAGCTGCGCTGCTAACCGGAAGGAGGGACCTCTCTGCTGGTGTCAGAGGATCCACCACTGACTCCTTGGGATAAAGATGGCAATCTCCTCCCACGCAGTTTACAGCAACCAAAAATGTTCTGAGGGATCAGCTACGACTTGGTTCCAACTCAACAATGAGTTGGAATAATCAGTGATAACAACAGAAGGAGAAGAAGAAGAACGTCATAAAAATTGTCAATATTTTACTGTATGGTCTTTGCAATCACTTGTTAGGCATCAGAGCGTTGGACAATGAATGACTAAGGAGGATAGAAGGAGAATTGATACCTTTGAGCTGTGGTGCTGAAGAAGAGTATTGACTGTACCATGGACTGCCAAGAAAACAGATTCATCCTGGAGAGGGTTAAACCTAGCTACTCCTTGGAGGCAAGGATTCTGGGGCTTCGTCTGACATACTTTGGACATGTTGCCAGGAGGGACGGGTCCTTGGAGAGGGACATCATGCTTGGGAGGGTGGAGGGACAGCGCAGGAGGGGAAGACCCTCTATGAGGTGGATTGATTCAGTGACTGGGGAAATCAGGATGGGTGTGTCAGAGGCAGTGCCACTGGCACAGAATAGAGCAGGGTATAGGGCTGTTGCACATAGGGTCGCTATGAGTTGCAAGCAACTCAACGGCACCTAACAACAACAACAACATATGCTACTGACTTATAAGTGGTACAACTGACTCTCAAAAAAAAAGAAGAAATGTTTTTAAAAAACCCAACAATATTCATTGCCATCAGTCAGAACTGACTCATAACTGACTATTCAGTGGTTTTTCAGAGGCTGTAAATTGCACAGGAGTAGAGTGCCCATATTTCTCCCTTGAGGTAGTTGATGAATTCAAACTTCCAGAGAGATGTCACCTTTGAGTTAACAATGCAGCTCCCTACAAAGGATAGTCCCAGAGCTCACTTCAACCGACCCTACCATGTTATAAATACAGTCATAGATAAAATACACACGGTTACTACTAGGAAAATATATTTAACAATATGCAAATGCCAAGAAGAGAACCAAAAAGACTCACTTCTTGGCTTGAAAGTGTGAGTCATGGTTTCATAGGGCTTAAAAATAAGTCTAATAACACAGTTAATGCTTCTATTTTACCTCCGGATTAACCGAGCAGAGCCTGGGGTCTAAGAACTTGCAAGTCACCAGTCAACCTTAGTATGGGTGCAAGTCCAACCTTACTCTCTATTCACCTGGATAAAGAGGTGAGTAAGAGAGCAGAGCAAGAGGCGGATGTGGTGTGAGCAGCTAACTGCTTCCGTGATCAGCTACTGCTTCCATGAGACAGAAGGAGACGTTGCTTAACAATTAGAGAACATTGCCACCCAGGACTCCATAGAAGAATCTCAGTCAAAACAAGTAAAATATAGAACAAAATTTTCAATTATACATTCTAGACTTTCTGTAGATGGTCAGGGTGACACATGAAGCCATCGTCTTCAAATAATCTTTAATCCTTAAACAAACACCCCCCCCCAAAGAAATCCCCTAAAGTCTTTAAAAAGAAAACTAATTCCTGAGAAACTAGTGAATTCGAACTACATACCTTTAAGTTGGCAGTGCAACTTATTACACACTAGGGCCCCGATTCCCTTAATCAAAGATAGTATAGCTGAGTAAACTAGGATATATAAGTACAATGACTACAAGAAAAGCAACATCCAAGTAAAGACGTTGTTTCAAGGTGCTTTCGTGTCAGTTTCAACTCGCAATGACCCTGTGAACAACATAATGAAACACGGCCTAGTCCTCAGGCATTTTTACAATCATTACTGTATTTGAGACCATGTTTGTCGCTACTGTGTCAAGCCACCTCACTGAGGGTCTTCTTCCTCACTTACAAACTGCTTTAACAAACACCATGTTTGGAGAAAATATCCCTTCAGATAGCATGTGGCACACACAGGAGAAAAAGAAATCTCACCACCCTCACTTCTAAGAGAATTATGTACTTTTCCCAAGACAGATTTATTTGTTCTTGTGATGCACTCAACCCATTGCTTTAAATTGGAAGTGACTTATGACTTACTCTTTTTGACGTCTTTGTGATCTTTTGCACCCTTCATGGATGATGTCCGTAGTCTCCCCCCAACTCCTCTGGTCTTCAAACACTGGTGTTCAGTGCTTCAAATCTTTTCTTAAGATAATGTTTTAATTCAGGTGGGACAGACTCAAGATCGTATCTTGATTCTTGCAGACTTGTTTCCATTTTCTTTAGCTACAATTTGAACTTGCACATGAGTAATTGATGATCTGTTCCACAATCAGCTCCTGGTCTAGTTTTCACTGCTGACGTTCTCCCACAGAGGTAATTGGTCTGATTTCTAGGCATTTCATCTGGTGAGGTCTAGGTGTGAAGCCACCACTTGCGTTTTTAAACTGACTGTACAAAATTTGATAATTTTATTGAGAACCTCATTTTTGTCACCAAGACTGTACTTCCCAACTACCTTCCCTTTTTTATTATTTTTAACGTCTGCATTCTAGTCACCAATTATCATTAACACATCTTTTTCAAAATACTTTTTAAATTTTTATTTTAATGAAAATTTACAGAAATGTTAGATTTTCATTCATTCATTGTTGCACATTCCCCCCCATACACACACACTTTCTCCTCCCCAAGTTGACTTTTTAAAAATACTAGTTTATTTACAAAATTTGAATACATTGTTTTTGAGGACAGAATCTTCCAGTTTCCCTCATTAACACCTTTTGTAAACCAGACGCAGAAAGGAAGCAGGGACACGAGGAAATGAATTCTGAAACAGAGAGAGACTGAAGCAGAGGTCCTCTCACAACTTAGTGCTGTGAAAAGCCCTCTGCCTCGGTCTCTGTTATAGAATTCATTTCTCTGTGTCCCTGCTTCCTTTCTGCATCCAGTTCGCAACATCTGGTGCCAGAACCAGGGACCTGAAAGAAGTGACAGTCTCTCTCTCTCTCCCAGGCACAGGGAAATGGAAAGGTAAGTGAAGTCTTTCAGGAAAATTTTCTTCAGGCAGAGAGTCAAGAGGAAATGCTCACCCCTTGGAGGTCAAGGGTAGAAGTAGAAAAAGTTTCATAAGGATTCCCTCACCCCTTGAAGGACAAAGTCAAGGGAAGAATTAGAAAACAACTTTCATGGGGACTTTCTCCAACCTCTGAAGTAAAATGCTTAAAACACCTCAGAAAATGAAGTGAAAAAGAGCCATATAGAACACACCATCCTCTGAAGCTCAATATATTTCTCTCTTAAAGGAGCTGCTTATTAAGAGCTCTGGGGTAAAAGTGAAAGAAAAATCTTTTATGCAATTGTTTAAATGTATTAAAAAATACTGTTGCTGATTTCAGCCAGTTGGTAGATCTCAATTGGATTTAAAAACTTGGCATAATGTTATGAGAGACTTCTGAAGATCACATAAAAAAAAGAACAAATTCCTATTGTTTTTCAGCCAGCATTGGCTTTGATAAGAAAAGTAATAACGTCCATGCAGGATTGTACACATAATAAAAAAATTTTGCAAAGAGAGATGGCTGAATCTTTGCATGAATATAAATTAAGTGATATTACATTAGAGAAGGTTAAAGCTGAAGGCAAGAAACAGCCTTTGTCACCTTTTGTAAGAGCCTTAGGATGATGCAATCCTGAATTATTATTTTCTCTTCATTAGGATGCATTGACCCAAAAAGTGCTCTTCCTGGGAAATTATTTACAAACTAAAATGTGATTTAGAAAAAGAAAGAAGAAAGAAAAAGTGCTAAATCTCAAAGCAGAAGCCTAAGTATTTTTGTTGATTGTTTTCTTTTTTGTTTTAAGTTTGCTGTTGTTTCTTTGTTTTTTTGCCTTAAGTTTAATGTGATAATAGT